TAATGTATTGCTGGGACTTGTAGTCCCGCATAGCTGGTGGTATTCTGCATTGCTGTATGATAATTATACAGCAATGCAGAATAGCCCCACAGAGAGCCCATATAAACCACCTGAAAGCCCTTATAGACCACCCGAGAGCCACACTGCCCCCCTGAGAGCCCGCACAGCCCCCAGAGAGCCCAAACAGACTACCTGAGAGCCCACCTGAGAGCCGCACAACCCCCCAGAGAGCCACACAGCCCCCCAGAGAGCACATACATACCACCAGGGACCACAGAGCCCACCCAAAAGCCATAATAGACCGTCTGAGAGCTGCACAGCTCCCCTGAGAGCCTGTACAGACCACCAGAAACCCCACAGAGCCCACCTGAGAGCCGCACAGCCCCCTGAGAGCCCGTACAGACCACCTCAGAACTGCAGAGCCCCCCTGAGAGTATTCAGGTCTAATTGAAGGGTTGGCACTTTAAGATACATAAGTTGGTTTAGTGATCCAGTTTGGGCACTGCGGCTCAAAAAGGTTCGCCATCACTGTCATACATCAATGCAGAATACCAGCAGCTAAGCGGGACTACAAGTCACAGCAATACATTATAATAGAAGTCAGCACTACAGAATCCTACTGCCACCCCAAAACACACACAATTTCCCGCGCCCCCCCCCCTCCCACTCTAGACTTACCTTCCTTCTCCAGCAGCCCTCTTCCTCGTCTCCCTGGTCAGGGGACAGGGCTAAGAGGGTCGGGTCCTCACACAGCAGAATGTGCCAGGGCCCGGTCGCAATTGCGACCGATGAGACCCTGGTAGCTCCGCCAGTGGGTTTAGTTATCCATAATTTTTTTCTCTCACCCATGGTAGGAAAATGTAGTGGTACTTGGGAGCCAGTGGTGTTGATTTAATTATAGCAATAGGCTGGTCACTTTGCAAGGGAATATTCTCTTAGCTTAGTGAATATGGTGAATCTCTGTTGACTTCCATCATCTAATCATGTGTAAGCATAAATATAGTTTTTTTCTTTTCCTTGCACATGATCGGGTAATCTTTGAAAAGTGAAATTTCACCACATTCATTAAGCTAAGGGAAAATTCCCTTGCAAAGTGAATGGCCTAGTTGCCTTTAGTAAACGAACCCCCATGGAGTGCTGAAAACCCCTCCTACCAATGAGCTAGATAGTGAAAGGACATATCAAATGTATGTATGGTCTGAAAAGCTTCTTTGAACCCACTAAAAACCTAGGATATGAAACCAACCATTCTATTGATACTTTGTACATCGATATGATTTCAATGATGAAAAGTCTGAATTTTTATAACTTAGTATTCAACCTTTGTATTTCACTTTCTAAACTGCTATGGGTCTATTCGAACTATCCAACTTCCTTTACATTCAGGGCCGGATTCCAGACAAGGCCATGGAGCAGAGGGGCGGCACAGGTTTGAAGTCACCCGACGCCCGGAAACATGGAGTTGCGGGCGCCGGGTGGTAATTTGTTTTCTACATTTACTAGTGATCTTGGCGATGTCACCAAGATCACTTGTAATAAGATAGCAGCTGGTCCGTCCTCCCCCCGCCCCCCCCCCCGCGCCTACCTCTCTGCATGCTGGCTCCATCCTCTCCTCGCTGGCTGCCACCGTCTTCAGGATGGAGAGCGGTGAGCAGAGCGGCAGGGTTAAAAGTAACCCTGGCGCTCTGTGTAAACAGTGAGAGGGGAGAGCTATGCTCTTCCCATCTCACCTGTCACAGGAGTTCCACCACAGTGCTGTGCTAGAACTCCTGTATTGGAGGTGACAGGGTCAATAAAGAGAACCTGTCACCTCCAAATGCTGTCACACAGGGGATTGTTATCTCCTGTGTGATAGCAATAAAGTTAAGTGGAAAAAAATTGATCAAAAAATTACTTAAATAAAAAGTAAAAAAATAAGTAAAAAATAATAAGTAATAATAATTAAATTTAAAAAATACATAAATAAAAAGTAAAAAATAAGAAAAAATATTAAAAAATAAGAAAATAATTATAAATAAAAAATAATAAGATAAAATTGAGGAACCTGGAATTGGGGCAGCAGGGAGAGTAAATCTGATCCTGTTTACATTGTGTTTGTTGATATCAGAATGGACACGACGATTGTATTTAGCCTAATTTTAAGTCATATGTTGCAGTAATTGACTGCTGTCTGGTGAGTAACACGTGATTTTGTAGTTCGCAGTTCAAAGTTGGGAAAGAAAGAGAACAAGACAATCCCAGACTCCCGCATCCCTTCTCTTGCTACAGTTGATACACATAATTCAAACACAACCTTACCGCAGGTGAGAATACTATTTTATGCAATCTGCTATGAGTTAAATCACTAAAAATGTGTTATTGTACTGAAAGTACTTTGTTCACATACTGTAAGACATTTAATATGAGTAATAATACCCACATCACATGTATAGGGAAAATAGTCCCATGGGAAAAAAACAGGCAATCTTACCAAAACATCCTCCACATAAACACCACACGATACGCTCATCATACCTTTAAATGTAAAAGTACTTGGAGGTGTACCAGGGATCGTGGCTGGGTTGGTGTGTTGGCATTCCAGGACCGATAGCTCTGTGCTGGTATTCCAGGACCGATAAAACTACACTAAAACACAAGCAAAAATGGAGGGTGCATCAGATTGTTTAAGTCAAAAACATTTTTTAAAGTACTTCAAAACATATTGCACTTGCAAGAGTACGCTTGAAGGCAGGCATGTAGATATACAACACTGCATCCAGAGTATATTATCCTCTAAAAGGAGTCACCCTTCACAATCAGCCGGCTACCATATGAGCGAAGTTCGTAGCACGAATATATTAATGAAAGTACTGGTAAGCTAACTAAAGTCTCTGCTGGAGGCGGCCTAATCACGTAGATTTACACTCCCGCTAGTAGGGATGCACTGATACCCGTATTTCGGTATCGAATTCAGATGACTAAAATAAGCAATTTAGTTTTAGTCGCCTTTCGTTTTGTCAACTAATTATCAGTAGAGAAAATTGCAATGCACAGTATTCTTATCATAATTTTAGTTCTATTAACTTAGTTCATATTTAGTTTTCATCAGTGAAAACATGCACATGACGAAAACTAGAGGTGCACCGAAATGGGAATTTTAAAACCGAAATGAAACCAGAAAAAAATAATTGTCAGGCCGAAACCGATACCGAAAATGGTTTTTATTTTAATTTTTTCAATTTTAAAAAATATTTTATTTCCACATGAGTCTCTGATCTCGGGTGTACTGAAGAAAAAAAAAAACTGGCTGAAAAATCTTCAGAATCCATCACTTGCAGAGGTGTTGGTTTATTAGTTCCCCGTTGAGTGTTGTGGTCCCTACATCACTACAAGACACAGTATTGACATAGGATCTGGCAGACTGATCCATTGAGTACAGTGGGGACCTTGTGGTATCTTCACCTGGTAGTATCTCTTCAGTACAGCAGAGATTTTTGATGTGGACAGCAGCAAAGGTGATTATTAAAAGAGAACTATGGGGTAAGTGTTTTTCCCCATAGTTCTCTTTAGAGTCACGGGAGGACATATACTAACCTCCTCCCGTGACCCAAAGCTCAGTGTATCACAAGCTACAGGTCGCGGTATACTGACACCACCGCAGCCGGGACGGATCCCGACAATGCTGTCGAGATTCACCCAGCTGCGTGAGTCACAGCGGGCTCTGCCTATCTAGAGCCACAGCCAGCTGTGCCCTCCCCCATTCGTTCCTCCAGTCAGCGCTGGAGAATGTGAGTGGGGGGGGGGGCAATCCCTGGAGGGAGCCGTGATTGCCAGTCAGGGAGATGATTGAGAATTGAGCGAGCGACGGTATGTGTTCGCTCACTTTCCGATCTATTGAGCCAACGTGTAACAGTTCCATTGTCACGCGTCGGCTCGAACTATGAGGATGAGTGACTTTCACTCACCTCATAGTTCTCCTTTAACTCTCTTATATAGGGGAGACTTTCTTTTAATTTTATTTGGCAACAGAATTGCTTTAAGCTTCACCTACCCCACGGGCCACTACTGTACAATGAGAATTTCTTTACTGACCACAATCTTCTGAAGTTTGGGAGTAGGAAGGTCAAGGCCTCATTTGAAAACTAAAAGCAATCTCAGATGGCTACTGAAGATGCTTTCCTAGACAAAGTAGGTAAGAGCAGGCACCTTGTAATGTTAATGTCAGGGTAACTTTAGAAAAATAATTACTCACCTGTGACATCATTTTACGTACTATGAAAATGAACAACTATTTATTTTCCTCTATTGCAGTTTTCTGTGAACGTATTACAGGACACCCTGGATATCTCAGAAGCAAATTTTCCACCTGTAGAACATTAAAAAACATTTAAAATAAGTTCACTTGACTAGAACAGCATGGATCCTACCAATTTACATCAACTGCTGTAATGTAAAATCAATGTTCCTAAATTACGATCATCACGAAACATCTGGGACCTTATTTTGGATACCAAATGCTAATCAATTCAGCATATCATTATAGAACTGATTTTAAAAGACATTATTTTACTGAATGCTGCATGGGGGATGACATTTTGGATGCCTCTGACTAATGACAAGTCAACATTTTTTTTTACTTTTGTATATTTAAATATGCATAACGGCAAGAAGCTTGCAGCTAGAAACAACATGTATTGAATGACTGTACTTACCGTTCTGCTGACTGAGGAATGAGCCACGATCTCAACTACATTTTTAAATCAAATGTGTATAGTAATGTGAAATACACTTTTCCTCCCGTTGTAGTCAATCTAAGGATGAACTCACTGTCAGATAGCATTTACTTCATTATATTTCATCACATAAAGAGAAAGGACCAAATATGCACACAAGAATATAGTCAAAATAAAGTGTAAGGAGCAATGATGGTATGTGTAGCGCAATAATGCAGTCTATTTATAAAGGTGATTGCAGAAACGTCACCAGCACACCAAATCCTTATAGGATCAAAGTTCGTAGATTTTATTGCAAACTCATGTCAGTTACACAAGCGGTTTCGGGGCCACACAGGGTCCCTTCACCAGGGTCATTGCTATGCCTGATGAAGGGACCCTGTGTGGCCCCGAAAGCGCTTGTGTAACTGACATGAGTAAGCAAAAACTTTGATTCTATAAGGATTTGGTGTGCTGGTGACGTTTCTGCAATTATCTGTATTTGGCGGCGCCATCTGCAGTCATTCCGAGCACCCCTCCCCGATCACTGGGTCATACCGGTAAGGAGTGAAACTAGCCTTTTCTTTTTTCTTTTATTTATAAAGGTGAACATTTTATTTCATGTTTGTTTTCACAGAATAGATCTGTTTTAGCTCTCCACTCTTTTTTTTTGCCATAAAGAAGAACAATTCCAGGAAAATGTCTCAATGCTTTGAAGTACTACGTTATTCTCTGAGAATTGCACACAAAATTTGTATCACACTAAACAAAGAGTAATGCATTATTTTCTTTGGTAATTGTATTATTGTGATTTGTTATTCTTCTTGCAACAGTTGTACATTCCAGTTTTACTTTCTACATTCCTTTCAGCATTAACTCCCTTCATTTTACACACTCTGCCTTAACTTTCCATCTACATTTAAAAGTTTTATAAAATAACAAAAAAGTCAGAAGCAAAATACAGAAGTCTAGTGAAGCAAAATGCAGGTCTGCTGACCTCTATAAATAGCCCCCTAGTTATCAGATTTTACTGTACCAGATTGTGAATGGATCACACCCACTGAGATTTGCTAACTGAAGCAAGATCCATGTCTGGGTGGCGGGATTAGGAAAGAGCTTACCTTGGGAAGGCAAAGCAAGGCTGTGAAACTGTTATCACAGCCTGCAATACCACCAGTCACCCCTTGGGGAAGACTCACCCAAAATCTTGCTGGCCAGACACACATGGGTACATGCAAATCTTGCATACAATTTGGTGCACTCTAACAGGGTTATTCACAAAGCTGGCGGAGGCAGCCGTGTGAATAACCAAGCCAAAGTGAAGTGATCTGAACGCTGTTCGGCTATTCACTTCAGGCTTGTACAGCTGATTTCAGCCGTACATCGGCTTGCTTCGTGTCGGCCGAACATGCTCAGCATGTTCGGCCGACCCGAAGTGCAGAAGGAGTTCAACACAGCCGATCCAACATCTGGATCGGCTGAGCCGAACCTCCGGCAGCCTACTCACTGCTGTTCGGCCTATTCTCATCGGGTCCGAACAGCAGTGAGTGAATAGCCGAATGCCGCCGAGCGTGGTACCAAGCAGAATAGAAAAACAGTTTTTTTTTAAAGTAGAAAACGATTGGGTGGAGCTAGCAGTGACAGCTAGCTCCGCCTAACTGTTTCCTATTGGCCGGGACCTGTTGTCATTACAATGAGAGCTTGGCGGAGCCGGCGGTGATATCACTGCTGGCTCCGCTGAGCTCTCATGACAGTTCAGCATCACCTGGCTACCATGATATGAAGGCCGGGCTCCGCTGAGCTCTCATTGTAATGACAGTTTAGCGTCCCCTGGTTACATGGTAACCAGGGGGACACTGCTCTGTCATTGCAAGTGGCCAGAGCCAGCCATGAGATGACGGATGGCTCCGCCCAGCTGTCAGTAGCAGGCTTTCGAACAGCCAATGGCCGGCCGTTCGGCCCGCTTCGGCTTTCACCTCGGCTCAGTCGAGCCGAAGCCTATGCCTTCGGCTTGACCGAGCCACTCGGCCAACTTCGGGAGCTGTACGGGCTATAGTGAACCGAAGGGGTCCTGGGGCCGAAGCTAGCCGAAGGATCAGCTGGAGCTACGGCTTATCCTTAGGCTATCTTTGTGAATAACCCCCTAAGGGTTATGTAGCAGCTAGGTGATTTCCCAAACCTTTCTGTGAGCTGGAATCCTTGCACACTTTTACTTTTTCCACTGGTTTTTTTTTATTCTTTATTTAAATTTGTAAGAACATACAATATAAACATACAAAAAAGTGTTTTTACAAATCATTATCTTAACACAAATAACGGCAAAAATAAATAAATTTAAAAAATACACCACAAAAACAACAACCCCACTGTTGACACACAACTCAGGCTAGCCTGCCACGTACTGCACGTACAATTTTTTGCAATCGCACCGCACTGGAACGCACTAGTGTGTGTTATGCTGTGGGCGATCACACTGCGGGCGGGAAGCACATTTGGGGTGCCATTCAAATGAACAGCACTACAGCGCACCTCCTGCACCAGAATTTGTCACGCCAGACATGAAAATTACTATATTTCCACCTTCTTTATTTTTTTTTTACAATGGGGGGGAGGGCTTTTTTAACTTAACTGCTAGGGGCTTTGGGGAAATATCAGGCGTGTAAAGAGACCCCTGATATTTCCCTTTTAAAATAAAAATAGAGATTGAGGAGTCCTCAATCCCTTTTTCTGCAGCACCAGCACGTAATGGACAGGAAGCACTCAGTACAGAGACTTCCTGTTCATTCATAAAACAAGGAGATAGTAAACAAATATTATGTCCACAATCATGAATGAGCAGGAAGTGATGTAGATCACTTCCTGTTCATTCATAATTGGGGACACAGTATCTGAATAGTATGTCCTCAATTATTTACAAAACATAGTAGTGATTAGTACTTATCACTGCATTGTTTGAATATTACAGGGAACAATCAGCAAATATTTCCTCCTGAAAGCTTTCTCCTCCCAGCTGGGCGCAGGCAGGTGGATCAGCTCTGTGTCCCCTCTGAACCTCGCTACCCCTGCCAATACAAGCAGGGGAGCAGCAGGAATTAGAGGGGACACTAACCACAGCATGCAAAAGGGGGGGGGGGCGGGGGGGGGGTTTGGGGGGGGTCTCCTCACCACTGGGG